ACGTTTACAAAGGGTGAGACCCAGAAAAAGAAAAAAATTATCGTCTGAAAGCATGAAGACTGGCACAAAGGGTTTTGCACAATTGGAGGAACTACCAGCTGAGGCCGCCCCTACAGGGAGGCTCCCCCAGGGGCTAATTTGCTGCTCCAGATCTAGTGCAGTTCAATCCCACTGTGAGTGTTCACTAATGGTCTTGGCAATTCTGCCGGAAGCGCTCTGTAAAGGCTGCTTGCCCTGGGCAGGGGACGTTACTTAAACGGGGCCCCATATTTCTCATCCTGTGAAGGAAAACTTTTAACTTAGGTCTTCTTTTACACTAAGTTCTCAACATTCTACAGTAACAACTAAAAAGCCCGCAGACTATGCATTTTCTTAGAAAGTAGAGGGCTTTCTAACAATTAGAGCTTTCTAAAAATGGAAGGCATCGCCTGGGAAGATTGAGTTCCCTATCTCTGGACAGGATCCAGCAGATGCTGGTGACCAACTGGCTAGGACGTCACAGAAGGGACTCGGGCACTGGGAGAGGAAGGATTAGGTGACTCGTAGGATACCGTCCAGTTAAAGGATCTAAGAAAATGGAGGTGATTATCCAAGTAACTCCAGAGCGGGGAAGGTGGAAAGCACTCCTGCCTCAAATGTAATCATTTCAGGGGATAATAAATGTACGTTTTTCAGAGTGCACCATCCTCCACAAAGACACACCCACACACTCTCATTCTCTTCCACAAACGAAGTATAAATGGTTGGAATCCCGCTAAACAAACTCTATGTGTGGATCCCAAAGTTTTGGAGGAATCTTTGGGCACAGGCTTCCGATCCGTGGTAACCCTCCACGAGAAAACAGGCTCTGTGACAGCTTCTGCGATACAATTATCTGCGGGTGCAATATTTGCATCTGTTGGGATCAACTGACCTGTTCTCAGACAAAAAAAGAAACTACAAATGTGACTGAGCCTTTCTGAAAATCCACATAGAGAATCACAGGACGGATGTAGTAACTGTTAATTTCAAAGATAACCAAAAGAATTAGACCAGCTGTACAGTCTGGGACAGGTTTCCCGGCTAAATGTAGAGATGTGATGCCCCATTGTTCTGGTTCCTGTATCTAAGCTCACAGAATACTCTGTACTCCTTCACGGAACTTTGCAATTGTCACCACAAAATGAATTATCCACTTTGTTATTAATGTCTGTCTTCCATGCTCAAAGTTTCAGAAAGGCCAGGCTCTCACTGCATCCTCAGTGTCTATACCTTTAGTTAGCAGATGTGGGAAGAAAAAAAAAAGTATTTATTGAATAAAAGAATACTTGTCTATACAACAGCCACTATACTACCAAAGTGAAGAGACATCTGAGAACAGTGGGTATAGACAAGAATGTGGAGAATAAGAATGCTCATGCACTGGGTGTATAAAATGGTACAACCACTTGGGGGAATTTGATATTTTCTAATGAGTTTAATGGTAAGCCCATCTAATGACCTAACAAATCTACTTCTGTGTATATATCCTAGAGGAACTAGATTTATGTACACTAGATTGTATATGTATTAGAATGTTCACAGCAGCATTGTTCATAGTTGCCTCAAGTTGGATACAACCAAATACCCACCAACAGTAAAATGGATTCATGAATTGTGGTATATTCAGGCAATGGAATACTATATGACAATGAAAACGAATGAACTTAAGCCTCATGCAACAGCACAAATAAATCTCACATGGGATAGTGAGAAAAAAATGAAAAAAAAAAACCAGGACACTAAAGAATACACACTGCATGATCCCATTCATCTAAAGAGCAAAAAAAATCCAAACGGCTATTTATTTTAGGGATGAACAGGTAAGTTTCGAGTTCTAGCAAACATTCAAAGAACAGATAAATCAAAACGTACACATACTCTCTCAAAGAAGATAAAGAAACTGGAGGCCACTACTCTACTGGAGGCCACTCTCGGGCAGGAGAGTGACATGGAAAAGGGCAAGAGAAAAGCAAGAAAACCCAGTAGGAAGTTACTGCTGTAGCTTAGTTGAGACAGCCAGTCACGAGCCGATGGGTTCCTCTACCCTTCTAGGTTCTTCTGGCTGCTCTAAAAAAGTAAACGGGCACGAGACATTAACAGGAGAAAGTGGTGATGGGTGGCCTGAGCCAGGGTGGGAGCAGGAGGGATGAAGAGGATTAAAGAGACACAACAAGACAGGACCTGGTGACAGAATAGATACAAGAAGTAAGGTGAGCATGGTACCAAGGGATACTCCCTTATTAAAAGAAGGGAAGAAAGCAAAAAGACTGCAAGTCTGCAGATTATACTACGTACAATATAGCCCTAATTTTGATGTTTAAAAAGGACATGAATTTACTCTAAAAATAAATTTAGTATCAAAAAGAATAAAAAAACTGCAATGGATTAAAACACATAAAATGTTAAAACTCAGGAGTTCATCACAAAACTATAATGCAAAAGAAGGAAAAGAAGATGAAGGGTTCCAAAGGTTCTAGCATTGCTGGGAAAGTGGAAAAAAAAACAAACCAAGTTAAGGATGTGTATTGTAGTCTCTAGAGTAACCTCTAAAAGAATTTAAAACTAACAACAACAACAACAACAAAATAGGAAGGAAGACAGACGTTTCATTGATACAAAGGCAAGAGGAAAAAAAAAAAAAAAGAATATAAAATAGGTGGGTTGAATAGAAACAAAGAATAGGATGGTAGAAACGTACTGCCATTTCACAATACAAGTTAAACACCACAGGATGTTTCCAGAATGTGGGAAATTCTTTCAAACAACCTGATTTCTTCAACAACTAAACTACGAGGGAAAAAAAGGAGGGGTGGTAACTCATTGATTAAGACACATACTGACCAAATGCAATGTGTGGACCACGTTTGGATACTGATTTGAATTAACCAGCTGCTTTAAAGAAAAAGTGACATAATCAGAGAAACGAACACTGAGTGAACAATGATTTAAAGGAATTCTTTTTAGGTGTGATAATGGCATTGTACCAATGTTTTTTTAAAGAAGATTTCTTACCTTTTGGAGATATATAACAAAGTAATGAAGAAATTACAAATGGAATGATGTTACCTGGGACTTGCTTAAAAATAGACCAGTTCTGTGAAGTGGGAGGGGGCGTGAAAGGAAAAATGACTGAGATGGGCCAGCGTGTTAACAATCATTGATCCTCAGTCATACACATATGGGATGTATTATACTATTCTATTTCTGTATGCATTTGAATTTTACTGGAACAGAAGGAGAAAGGGAAGGAGGAGAGAGCTCTAGATAGATAAGTATGTGTAGAAAATGTTTTGGCAGGATATATTTCAAAATGGTTATCTCCGGGCTAACGTGATCACAATTTTTAGAAAGTGTTACAAATTTATCATCTCTGGGTGGGGAGATTACTGGTAACTTTTAGTCTCTTTTTGCTTAGCTATGTTTTCTAATTGTTTCTACAATGAACAAACCAGAATGCTTCAAATGCTCCAAATGCTTCAAAAATTGTTTAGAAGGATAGAAGACTGCCAAAAAACAAAGAGCCTCCCACTTACATCCACATTTCTTAACCATTTCTGGGTGCCAGTCCCTTGGCAGAATCTGATGCAACTACTGTCTCTCTCCCCAGAAAGATGCATAATCCTACAGAATTTTTCATATGACGTTATTAAGAAACTCTGAGACCTCAGATGAACCCATACTTTCTATGTTATTAGTAGTCATCATAAATAGTAATGGTTGGCTTTTATTGCACAGTTGGTATGTGCCAAGCATGGTTCTAAGTGCTTTCCAAAAGCTAACTCATTTAATCCTCCTAGCAACCCTACGAGATAGGCACTCTCATCATCCCCAATTTACAGATGAGGTGAGGTCAGAGAGGGTGAATAATTTGCACAAGGTCCCACAGCTGCTGACTGGCAGAGCCAGCATACAAACTGAGCAGCCTGGCCCTAAAGCCTTTAAAAAGCTTTTTTTTTTTTTTTTTTAGTTAAAGCTGGGCTTTTAACTACCACATTAAGAGGCCACTCAGAGAGTTAAATCAAATACAGAAAGCCAAGGCAACATCCTGAATCACGCCCTAGAAAATGTCTTCAAATTCAACTAACACTAAGTGCCTACCTACCATGTGCCAGACTCACCCAGACACATAAGCTAACCCAGCCCTGGCAACAGTGCCGTCAGGGACTTGTCCCATACACCCAGCTAACTGCTAGAAAATCAGAAGCCAAGCCTGGGGGCTTCCCTGGTGGCGCAGTGGTTAAGAATCCGCCTGCCGATGCAGGGGACACGGGTTCGAGCCCTGGTCCAGGAAGATGCCACATGCCATGGAGCAACTAAGCCCATGCGCCACAACTACTGGGCCTGTGCACCACAACTACTGAGCCCACATGCCACAACTACTGAAGCCCGTGCGCTCTAGGGCCTGTGTGTTGCAACTACCGAGCCCACGCCTAGTGCTGCTCTGCAACAAGAGAAGCCACCACAATGAGAAGCCCACGCAACACAAGGAAGGGTAGTCCCCGCTCGCCGCAACTAGAGAAAGCCCGCGCACAGCAACGAAGACCCAAAGCAGCCAAAAAAAAAAAAAAGTCAAGCCTGTCTTCTGATTTCAAGTTCACCATACACAGCTGATTCCCCTTATGTTGGGGAGGTGGTCTGTTCTAAGTCACACATGACCTCCCCGTGGCCAAACTCATTTCAAGATAACCGGTGGAGGTCCAGTTCAATACTTCCAATTGGTAGACCCTAAAATTAGTCCATGAGGCACAGCAACCTAGTTTTTGAGATTTTCCCTCATCACTCTACTTCAGCCAGCCGAGACGTCTTAGATGGAGACATGCTTCCAAAAGTTGGTATCTGAGGCTCATACACATAAACAGAACGGTATGCACAGACTGAGGACAACTGCCAGGTGCTACGATACCACACTACACTCACGCACAACACAGTTAGTACAACTATACACAAGCAAATTACGTGAAAGCCCTCCTGATGCTTACAGTTTCACAGTTCAAGCATCGAGTTTCATTGGTGAGCGTTCCCTGAAAAATCTCATGGACCCAGGTGAGTTCTGGTTTACTGTTCTCCGCAGGTTCGTTCATGTTGCCATTTTTTAATTTTCCATTTTGTTTCTCCTGTTTCTTCTCTTCCTGCAGGATGTCCGCAATAGTGTTTAGCAAATAATTTAAAAATTCGTGAGCATCCTGCTGCATGTAGTTATCAAAGAGATCTGGAAAGGAGAGGGTCGGTATTTCAATCTCTGGCTATTGAAAAGCAAAGAAAATGCTAATTTTACAAACCACACTTCCATTTTTATATTGAAAGAGTGGACACGTATGGAATACGTTCACCTCTATTTTGCAACTTCAATGGGTAAGTTTTTTAAAAATTTTTGTTCACTTCCACTTTTTACCACCCACCAAGAACTAAATTTCCCATATCTTCCTGAAGTCATCATATATAGAAAAAGCTACAAACATTTTCATTTGTTCTACAAAAAAAAAAAGAAAAAGGAAAGGAACAGGAATTACTTGATAAACTCCCTGATAAAGTATCAGTATTTAATACGATGTGACCACCAATGATCAATTATTCACTTCGTAATTTATGCAGAGCAACAGGGTCTCTTCCCAAAGATCATATTAAACCCTGGACCAACCTGGAAGCAGCTTAAATGAAACACATAAGGGAGATGAGGGATATATATGAGAATGTATCTATCTGATAGTGTTCTGAAACCAAATACAAATGATTCCAGCAGCCTGTTCCCTGCCATAAGGACAAACAATCAAGAGATGAATGCAGCTGTGAAACTTCATTATTAATCATGTGCACAAGGAGACTTGGGAGGGCTCTGCTTCCTTCTCAGATTATTTCTATTCTGTGTGTATAAACTACAACAACTTCAAAAGACGGCAATCAAATTAAATGAGACTTTATAAAACAAACATCTGATTAACTGTGCAAGTCTGTTGCAGTAAGGCTGAAATCTAGGCTAAACACAAGTTGTCATATCAAATATTTCTATAGTCATAAAAATTACCCATGCAGAACTTCTGGAATAACCTCATCTCTACCACCGCTTCTCACACACACACAAAAAAGAATATAGAAAAAAAAGAAGAAAATCAGGTGACAGCAGGACATTTTTTATCACAGAAAAATACCAGCTTGATATCCTTCAACCTAGGCAAATAAAAATCAAAGGTATTATTTTTAAAACAGCAGAGGCTCTGATTAGACAATCTGCATTTAGTTTAATCACTTATGACAAGTTTATAAGATAGTACTATTTTATTCAATTATTGCATCAACCTATGTATTCCAATCAGTGTCCTGCCTTGGGCAATTTCTCCTCTTACAATGATCCTACCCAGAAAAAACTCCTTCCAATGTGGAGCAAAAAGAAAAGGTCATTCCAAAATGGAATGATAAATTTGAATTTTTAAGTATATCTTTAATTCAGTTTTGTTTTATATACTGGGTGGAAAAGGAGAAATATCTTTTCAAATGATGGTTGAGTAGTTGGCCATACTATTTTCCCATTTAAAAAAAAAAAAAGGTTTCGTTTTGAGGATATACAGAACTGTCAATTCTCCTTATTTCAGAGCCTGAAACCCATTCGTCTCCACGCTACTCACCATTTTCTTTTCTCAGCCTCGAAATGAACTTCTTTGGTGGGATCACGCCAACCTTCTTCTTCTGCGTGGCGATGCTGTGGAAAAGGTCTGCCAGGCACGTCAACAAGTTTTCCTTCTTTTTTTGCTGGGCCTTGTATGCCAGCACATTCTCCCGGAAGGGCCGGCAGAAGTACAAGGCCTGAAGCACGGAGTTACAGTAGCATGTGTTTCCGAACTGCCAAAGGACAACAGGGATGGTTCAAATCAGGGTCCGGGGCTGCACCACCTCCGAACCAAGTGGGGAGAGGGAGAGGGCCACCCTCCATGTGAACCAGCCCAGATTCCGCGTATCACAGCCCTGCTCACAGTGGTAGAAGCCCAGTATGGCACTCTGAACATCACCAGGGAAATGAATGCTAGTATATGCAAGCCTGGTAGCTCTCTAGCCCATTAAAAGTCTCTAAGATGATAAGAAGCACTCGGCCTTGATTTTAAAAAATCTAGTGAAACTTTCTGGCGCTTAAAAAAGAGAGAGATACTGAAGAAGAAAAAAATCGACATGATGTGGAGACGCAGAAAAGCAGCTGGCTACACAAAAGATGTCACAAGGCAACACATCAAAACTCCTATGACAGGGAAAATAAAAATCTCAATCAGAAAGAAATCCAGGAACTAGGAACCACTTGCTCAGCTAAAACAGTCTTCACCGAATGGGGACTTGTTTTAGTTTCTCTCTTTCAAGATTCCAGCACGCCTGCCATTGGCTTCAGACCACATTTCCTCACTTTCTCCAAAGCAATCTTATTTCCGCCAAAGTAGCAATTGTCTCAATACAACAGTACCACCCAGTTCCTGGTCTCCTGCAATCTGATTAGGGCCCACAGAGTAATACCATGACCTCTCAAAAGCCACGGATACTCAAGATTATGATTAACGAGGGAAAAAGTAAGTCATCATCTCCCTGGTTTTCAACTGACTATATAATAACCAACTCTGCGGGTGAACACATAGCTGAGACATTCACTTTAGAATTTTTCATGCACGTTAAAATGAAAAGGAAAACAAACTAAGGAAATCAGAAGATTAATAACAGATTACGAACTGCTGTGTAAGATTAAAATAGAACATGAGCATTTCAAGATCGGTTGTTGGCTTGTGTGTTGTCTGCCCAAGAGCAAGGCAGATGCACCACCATCCTTAACGTGACATTTCTACGTATGTTAAGATAGAACACTTCCTATTTTTATATATTTTAATCTACTTTGACACAATTATGCAATGAGACAAACCTCTTTTTAAAGAGAAGCTGTAACTTTCATGAATTACCATTCGAAATAAACATAAATGAAACTATTAATAAGTTTAGGTCTCACAATGCTTCCACAGACTAGGAGATGGCCTTAGTTCTTTTTTCCTCCATAGTCTGCACTTGTCTTTTCCCTGCACAAGGTAGAATTCCAGCAACTTGAATAACTATCCTCACAGAGCTGAAGCAAGAGGCCTTTGCACTATGCCTAAAAAAACTGCATTAAAATTAGGAGTCAGTATTTCATCAACACAATGTCCTATATTCCAGTACTGTAGCCTCCTCCTACCATTCTTTTCTCTGTTACTCAGTACCTCACCTTCAGCCAGACACCCTTTAGTAACACTTGGCCCTGGGCCAGTGGACAACGTCTGGGAAAGAAAAGGAACTAACATTGACCGAGTGTCCACAAATGTGCCTCAGTCTCATGTCAGTACCTTCAATAGGAGCTCTCATGGATCCTTCATTATAGGCCAAGAGGTAGAAACCATTATGGTCTCCATTTTACAGAGGGGGAAATGGAGACACAGAGAGGCCAAGTGACTTGCCCAAGATCGCACAGCTAGTGAACGGCATAGGCAGAATTCAGACTTAGGTCTGTACTACCGCAAAGCCAATGTCCACTCCATTATCCCACAGGCGGCATTCACTCAGAGAATGGTCCCAGCGGAAATTACCACCTATCACACCTGAACTGACAGACCACACTCAGAGCAGTTGTTCCAGAAAACCAGGTGCTTATGAGTTAACACCGGATGTCACTTAAATCCTCCACCCCAGAGAGAAAGGATCAGGGGGGGAAGAAAGCGCACGGGGGTGGTGGGCAATACGGCCTCACTACTTGGTCATAATCAACTTGTCTAGGACACAGGCCCTGGCAAGTATGGCCATCTACAAGGGGACCATTGCTGAGCACAAGCAAATGAGGCCAAGGGATTTTGAGGTAAACTGGCCCCAGTTTTCCCCTGACTCCCCACCCATGCTTCAAATACCAAGTTGTGCTGTTAAATCGCTACTGGTGATGAGCTGGAAACGCTTTCGATGCTCTGGTTGAACTGATGCATACTGAAACAAAGCTACCAAGGAGCCCACCCAGATGGTGAAGGGAGAACGTACAAAAGCAGATACTGCTACAAAGGCTAATAATATCACTGTGAAAGTTATGGGTGCAGCAGAAATCCTTTAAAGCACAGGGGAAAAAAATGAGAATCTGACCCGATAATGCACTCATTAAACACTTTCTTCTGGGGCAGCTCATACTTTCAAAAACTGGACTAAATTTCCCCCACCCCAATATTTGCCACTTATGGTAACCAAGGAGTATGAACGATTATTTAAAGCTTGATAATAACGAAAATGGGAATGGAGTTGCTTCAAGAACTCTAAAACATTTGATTAAGATAGTACATTTTAAAATACTTACATTGACCAATCCGAAGTAGTGTTCATTGATTGGAAACTGCTCTGGACCAATGTCTTTTTCCAGAGCAGAGGCATTGGTGCCCTAAAAGAGAAAAATAACAAAAGTTCTCTTGTGTGTAGAATAGACAAGAAAGCAAAATGATACTTGAGAGAGTCCACTATCGAGACCAGCATCTCCTCGGGTGGCCTGGAGTTTGGTGACGGTCACGCTGAAAGAACAGGTGTCAGAAGTAAACCGTCGAAGAGGTAATGACATCAGCCTACTCCTCTCCTCATCCAACTTCATCATCCCCTCAAACCTGTTCTACCTGGCTTCAATTCTCCTCTATTAGGAAAGGAGGTCTGGGACAGGCAAATCAGCAAATCATCAGTCAGAACTTCCGAATGAAACATTCTAAGCTCAGGCAGCTGCAGTAGCTTTTATACTACTGGTGTATAGAGTCGTACCACCACTTTCAAAGTCAACAGTATCATCCTGATAAAGATTTATCTACCGCGCACCCACTATGTGCCAGGTACTATCCTAGGCTCTGACAACAGAACAGGGGACAAAGACAGGCTGAAACAAAAAGCAAGTACACTGGACAGCACATCAGAAGGTGACAAGTGCAGTGAAGAAAACCAAGGCAGGAAATGAGGGTGGGGACTCCAGGGAGCAGGGGGTGAAGGGGAGGCACGGAGGGGGAAGGAGTGGAGGGTAGATCACTGCCGCTTAAATAGGGTGGTCGGGGGGGCCTTCCGGAGAAAGTGGAATGTCCGAGGAATATCGTAAATAATGGAGGAACACAATTTAAAAGCTAACAGTTCCCAAATGCATCAAATTGGTGAGCCATGTGCACTCAAGTTCAACACTCCAACACGATGATAATAAGTTCCTGGGTACTCCCACTATATATGCCAGGAACTGCACTATCTATTCTCACAACATCCCATTAGGTAAGTACTTACTATCATAATCCCCATTTAACAGACAGGAACTTAAGGCTTCGAATGGTTAAGAACCTGCCCGAAGACCACAGGCAGTAAGTGGCAGAGCTAGGACTTGAACCCGGGAGTCAGACTCGGGGGCCCACGGTCTTAACCAAAGGCTATGCAGAGCGATCCTGTGACAAAACCATTTACTGAGCCCCGCTAAGGGCCAAGGGGTCACTGGCAAAAGCACACTGATTATCACTGCGCCCCACCCCCCCGCAAGGCCTGGAGGGGTCTGCTGGGATTAGGAAAAGCGACCAAAGTTCGGTCCAATCCGGTGAGTAGTTAGGGGTTGGGTAGGACCACAGGCCCCACGTATACCCGTGGCTCTAACATCATCCTACAGCTTCTCACGTCCTCAGGCTATCACGGAAGACTCACAGCTCACAGAATCTCAGAGATTTGGGAGACAGGTATTCTAAAAAGAGACTGTTATGTTTTGTAAAAACTAAATCTGCTGCTGCTACTTATCCTGGGCTCATATAACTAGAATCTCCCATCCCAGAAAGAAATGGCCAAAAGGTGGGCTGAGAACCAGTTAAAACGGTCACGTGTCAACAAGCAAACATGAAATGCAGAATAACTCAATTCTAAGCAAACACAACCTCAGCAGATATAGTACATTCCATCCCCTTATCATAATATCCTTTGTTTCCACTTGTTTTCTAGGTCCATGATACTGCGCCACCAATCTAAACTCCTCTACCCGTCATCGGAGACCTTGAGTTTAGCGGTCATCTTTGCGCACAACAGTTTCACTATCTTTTTCATGGGGGCGGGCGGGGGAGGCAGGGTTTCATTGCCTTCACAATAATGTGACTCCATATACAGGCTGAATTTTTAAAATAATACTTATATGAAAGCAGGATTTTATGGTATAGACAAAAATCACTAAAAGTTTTCAATAAAGCTACATCTCAATCATAAATCGATGTAAATAATGTGTATTAAATATACCCACAGCCATTTTTGAAACAACATTAGAATATATGGCTTAGAGCCCAGGAGGCATGTCAGATATAAAAGTAGAGCACATGGAGACAGATCTCATTAAATCTAAGGATTCAATCCCTGACTTCTGTTATTCGGGAATTCTTGGATGGAGCGCTTTTTTCTACCTTAATATTTTCCCACTGGAGAGGGAGCTGGTGGGGGGTGGCTGCCTGTGACTCAGGCTAAGTACGGTGACCCAGGGGCCGGGCTTAAGAGGAATAATACCTGGGTGGGAGGAATAATCTAGTAATAATTATTATAATAATATGATAATACCATGGGGGTAGCAGGCCAGGAGCACCCACAGCACAGCTCGGGGGAGAAGCAAGTGAGCTAGCCGTGTCTTCAGCGAAACCTGGCCCTCCCTCCGGTCAGGTCTGCTCAGCCCCTCTCACAACCCCCGCGCACACAAGGTCTGGAAGGGTCAGGAGGGGAGGTCAACCGCACTCTGATCCCCAGGATTGCTTCCAGACCCCTGCACCGTCACCCACCTCGTCAAAACATCCACCCTGTGCAGCCCGTGCCTCCCAGCACCGTACAAACCCCTTCCCTTCTCCTCGTCTCGCCTGACCCCTCCCTGCCCCGACGACCTACCTTTACACCCTGTCTCCTGCCATCGTGCTGGGTGGCTTCAGGATCCACGTGGCGGTGCCTTCCCATCCCCTGCTCTCTCAGCAACTCATGCCCTCTTTTCTAGCTGTCTTTTATTTCACTCCACTCCAGCTACCCACTCCCAAAGACGCACCCCGGACCTGGTCACCACCCCAAAACCCAGCCAGGCTGGACTCTGTCTGTTGGCTCATCCCATCACAGCCACTCGTACACCCGCCAGGACCCGTCACTCCTCTCCTCTCTCATTCAGCTTAGAGTCCATGGATCATGATGTCAGTGGCTCTTATAAACACCCCTGACCTTATGCTTTGCTCACACCACCTGGCAAAAAACCCACCCAATGGGAACCAAATTATTCACCTTCTCTGAACATACGCCCAGACAGATGTGCAGCGCTAGGGGGGAGAAGTTGCACCTCAGGCTGATTGCATTCGCTTGAACTCACCAAATTCAAGTGGCCCACGTCCCCACCTTCCAAGACCCTTTCTCTGAGGCACTCATTCTCCACTCCACAGCGACCTTTTCCAAATTTCCCCAAGCGCCTCAAAACTATATACCTCTCTGCCCCTCTCACTGGCTTCCCACTCAACAGGAAAATGAAGAAAAAGAAAAACATTAAACCAGCAGAGAGGAACTCTCTTAATTTCACACTCTCAAACCTTCAAACCTATGCGCCTACCTCTCCCAATGATGGAGACCTCACTCTCGTGCAGGTCAATTGCTCCCGCACTATTAGATCCTGCCCGGCGGAATTTAACATGCCTCCTTGTCTCTCATGTTAAAAATACACATACACGTCTTCTTCCCACCTCTGCCAGTCCCCACCCCCTTTCTCACCTCCCCTTCATAGCTAAACTTCTTTAAACAATTGTCTATTCTGACACATTTACAAATGAATCAGATGATTTCTAAGATTTATTTCAAATGATCCAGTGGGGAGAAGTGGGAGGTGGGTGTGCGGGGCTTATTATACTATTCCATTTATACTTTTACATATATGTTTACAGGCAGAGTAATGGTCTCCCAAAGATGCCCAGGTCTTCATCCCCAGAACTTGTGATGACGTCACCCTACATGGCAAAGGTAAATTTAGATTGTAGAAGGGCTTAATTTGCTAATCAGGACTTAATTTGACCTTAAAATAGGGGGACTGCCCTGGATTATCCAGCTGGGCCCAACGTAATCACAAGCATCTTTAGAAGCGGGAGACAGATCAGAACAACAGACCGGACCGCTATGATGTGTGAAGGACTCAACTTGCCCTCGCTGACTCTGTAGGCAGAGGAAGGGGCCAGGAGCCAAGGAACCAGGCAGTCTCTAGAAGCTTAAAAGGCAAGAAAAATAAAACAGTTTCCGCTAGAGCCTCCAGGAAGAACACAGCCGCACACTGCCTTCATTTTAGCCCGGGTGGGGCTAGTTCAGACTTGTGACCTCCAGGCTATAAGGTAATATACTTGTGCTGTCTAAGCTGCTAAGTTCACGGTAACTTGTTACAGCAGCAATAGACTAATACAATATGTCTGAAGTTTTCCATAATACTCGCTAAGACCTGTCTCTATTTCCTCACCTCCCCATCTCTCCTGAAAATATTCCCTTCTGGATTCTACCCCTGATGAGCTCCACACATGGTCAACTCAGGAAGACACACTTAGCTGTTGGCTTTCTCCAGGTGTCGTCTAAGGCCCTCTTCCCTCCCTCCATGCCTCTTTCTGTAGGGTCCAGGCAACAACCAGGCTTCAATCAGCAGCTACGTGCCAACCATTTCCAACGCTTCCCCTTCATCCCAGAAAGCTCACTTCTGAGCCCATTCAGGCGGGGTGAAGACACAGTTCCACTTGCTTGTCTCACAGGCCCTCAAAATCACTCTACCCCGAAACTAGAGCTTTCACGTCTCCTTCCCCTCAAATCCAGTCTCTTCCTGGTGTTTCCCCACTTGTCCATGACGATGCCACCTTCCACCTGGCTCCGGCTAGAAACCTGAGGGCCACGCCTAACGTCCTTCTCCACACTCGACGGCCATCCACCACAGCACACTACTGACCGATTCACTCTCCTTAAATCTCTCAAATCCCTTCGCTTCTCTTGAACCTCCTGCCACCAGTGGGACCAGGCCACCAGCATCTCTCATCTGAATTACAACAGCCTCCTAAATGGCCTCCGACACCCACCTTGCTCACCTCTAACCCCACCATCAACATGGCAGCAAAACTGCTCTTTCTAAATACAAATCTGCTTTAAAATGCTCCAGTGACTTCTACGGCTGTCTCCAATGTCACCTGCCACCCATTCTCTCATACACTTGGCCTGCTAGGATGGCCTTTGCTCTGGTCCTCAAGTACCTCAAGTTCCCTCCCATCCATCACCTGAATGCTCTTCCCTGCTTCCTCACCTGGCTGTACCCTATCATCCTTCTCAGGGAGTTCTTTACCGGCCACCCCTAGATTCAGGTAGTCTCTGTAATGGACAGAATAATGGCCCCTCAAAGATGTCCCCACCCTAATCCCT